TAAGCCGCACTGCCGGTTTTTGATCAAATTTTAGGATTTTCAGTGCGCTTATGGTCGTGAAAATACGGTACTAGCAGTTAAGAAACAAATGTTCAAATATTTCAACCACACAAAAATTAATGAACTATGTGTAGCCCATATATTTAAAAAAATAACACCATCTCTCAATTGTGCTGATAGCTATAAATATGCAAGCCACACAAACAATAAGATTTTATTTCAGAAAGTTCTATGATATACACTTTTCAGAAAGTTCTATGATATACACTTCAAAAACCTACCGTTTTGGATTTCTTTACATTCTTCCATATCTGAACTTAGATTCAGAGGTTTTTGAGAAACATTCCTGGTAGATACCAAGCCACTGTTAAGATTTGGTTTAGGCTTTGGGAGTCTGTATCTTGCTGGCCTAGGAGTTTTATTTTTTTTACACAAAGATACCGTACTGCAGACAAAAGTAAAATGTCATTAAAAGGATCACTCATTTTCTCAGCTATTAATATATTATCAGGTACAAAAGTGAGCCAACAGCTTGAGCACTACTAAATCTGTGCTACGGAATCCCAGAATAAAGAATTTAATATATCCCTTCATTGCAATCTAGATGTAATCTGGATTTATCACTAAAGGAGGAATTTAGAAAAGACACTGAGGAACAGTTTTCATACTCCACATCAAATGTTAATTTAAGCATATTATACAATACCTTCGGACAGTGGTGAAATCTAATTTTTTTTGCCATCGGTTCTGTGGGCGTGGCTTGGTAGGGGGCTCATGTGCCTAGGTGGTGGTAGCCAACTTTTTTTCACCTTTTTAAAGCATTTTTTTCCTACCTATTCGCCCGAAAAGTGGGGGGGAGAAAGGTTCCCACGATTGTGTGGACCAGCTGTGAGTTGCGCGATTGTCAGTACCTTTTTCCCCCACTTTTTAAAGCATTTTTAGTACCTATTCGCTGGAACCAGTAGTAAAAAAATGCTTTAAAAAGTGAAAAATCCAGTTCCGACGATCACGTGGCACAGCTGAGTGTCACAGAACCTTTCCCCCCCATCCACTTTTTAAAGCTTTTTTTTATTACTGGTTCGGGCGAACCTTAGCATTTTTTGCTACCAGTTCTGGTGAACTGGTCAGAACTGATAGCATTTCACCCTGGCTTCGGATATGAACTGGATAAAAGCTGGTTTTTTAGCTTTTGTCACTCAGAATATAACACATGAAAATTAACATTAAAATGTAATTAGCCTAATAATATTAATAATTAAGGCAGATTACTGGCCTCCAGACATTTTGTGTGGCAATCCCAGTTTGTTGGCAGTTTACTGTGATTATTTGAATTAAATTCCCAGAATGCCATACTATTGTCTTACAGTCACTTTTTTATAGATGCGCAACTTATAAAAATCTTTAAAGTTTTCAGATTCAACATAAAAATATTCATAATGCAGATTTCTGCATTTTCATTGCACGTGCACCAAAAATTAGACAATACAGGAGAAAAAAAATAATTTGAGATGCAGAAATTTGTTTTATACAATTAAGCATGTCATCAAAATAATAGTTATAAATTAAAAAATGGGTAGGACTCCTAATTAAAAAAATGTTTGGGGTAAAATAGCAGAACAAACCTGCAGACTCTACTTTCCTGTGAAGATTTTTCCAAATCTGTGGTAGTTTTATTTGTCTTGTGTGGTGAAACCAGTGCAGTTTTTGAAGAGTCTGGAAGTAACACAACTGTCTGTTCTTCCAAGCATACTTCAGAATATGATGGTTTACTGCTGTTACCTTCTGTATTATTTTTATTATTTGAAGGTTCATTTGCTGAAGGGGCTTCCATTTGTACTTCCTTTCCTGAATATAAAACGAATATAAAAAGATAGGTAGATTCAGTTTATCTTTATTGAGACATTCCTGCATTTAAAGCGAATCAAATGAAATCATTAAAATGTTACTTGACTATTCAAAAGCATAGTTCTGTTTGCATAGCAGCAGGAGGAAATGAGAGGCACAGCAGAAAAAAACATAACTCTTTTTTCAGCTTTTGAAAGGTGCTAATAATATTTCAGGCTTTTTTTAATTATTTTGTTTCCAGTGTCAAAATAGCAAGAAAGTTTGCTGTGATTCAAAGAGACCAGACTGGGCTTTGGAAACTTAAACAAGCCTTTCATCCTTCAGAGATTGGTAAAATGAGGACTCAGGTTGTTGGGGACAATATGCTGACTCTGTAAACTGCTTAGAAAGGGCTGTAAAAGCACTATGAAGCAGTGTATATTCCGTATTTTTGGAGTATAAGATGCACCTTTTCCCCCCTAAAAGAGCATGGAAATGTTGGTGCTTCCTATACACCAAATACAGCCATTTTGGGCCTCCCGAAGCCCTGTACTATCATGCCATTTTTGTGAAAAATGGGCAAAAAACAGGTCATTTTTTGCCAAAAAGAGCCATTTTCCGCAAAAATGGGGGTGTTTTGCTTTCCCCCACCCCGCCAGAAGCACTCTGCA